GGAAGACTTCCTAAAAGCCGCCATCTTAAGGATTCCAACTTTAGCGGGAGTGAAGTTTACGAGTACAGACATGTTTGACTTGGGCCGTTGTCTTTTCCTCTTTGCTCTTGATGAAAAAATTCAAATCCTCTTTGGTGGTGATGAGGTTTGTCTAGTGTATTTAGGCATGCTAATTAAGTGCTAAACTCTTTTAATTTACCACAGGGAGCCCAGACTCATAACAATCGAAGCTAAATGATAAACGGTTAAAAGGTACATAAACAAATTCATAAAAAAGGATGTCTGTGTTGTCTTCTTACTGTTTTCGGCAAAAAAAAAAACTAATCGGTTTTCTAGTGATGGGTAGGTGCTAAACATGTCAAGTCATGCTATGATGTGGAGTTAAGAGCTTAAAGTTTTATTTCCGTTTCATTTAGATTCTCATAAGTGCTTTGGCAATGGGTGCCTGTGCTAGTGTCGGAGGGTAAGTCAATCGTTTCTCTTCCAATTCCCTCCTCCCTGACTCACTTCTTTTCTCGCTCATACTTGTCCCCAATGCTCACTCCGTTAAGGCAGTGACTTCTACCATAGGGTCCCCAGAGGAGTTCAGTTTGTCTATAAACATCCAAAACTTTTGAAAACTACCTCTCTTGTAAAAACCCATTCGCAATGGTTATGTTTATCACGCAGTCATTGCGTTTCATTTCCGTTACACATTATATCTAACGGAAACCTAAAAGACTGAATACACTACGATAGGTTTACACACTGTGCCTCGCTTTCCGAATGCGTCGCCCTTCTTTCTCAGCGAGCATTAAATAATATTTTGCCAGGTTTGTAACAGGATTGCATGACGGTTTAATCGATCAAAAAGTACGAATCGCATTATCTGTATCAACTGTAAAATTTAAATGCAATCAAGGACACTAATAACTCTTCTGCATCCTTTGCTTCTACCAAGAGAGGCTAAAGCCTATAGGTTTCCGAAGTAGAAGAGTCAAAGGTCACCTTAAGTAGTGGATTTTCCAGAATCTTTGTATCCGAAGGCACCTTGCTTACGGGTTTTTGTTTGCAGTAGTCGTTTCTACTTAAGGCTTGTCTAAATGCTTTAAAGTTGTTGTTAATAAAAAAATGTGCCCACCGGGGGGAGTCTCTAAAAGTAGGGGAGGTGGGTTTGTAGATCTTATTTTCCCAGCATTCTAGTTGACTCCTAGTCCGAATGGTTCTCTCTCCACCCCAGAGGTCTCTTTGTGTTGTGGGGAGGCTGGGGAGAGAGAAAAATAAAGCGCGCGTGGCACGATGGGAATTAGGGCAAAGAGAGGCCTCAGGCTCCCGCCTTTTCCCTCTTCCCATCGTCTCCCGCGCGCTTTCTATTTTTGGATTACTGCTATAGTTTTATTGGGATACCCAGCCGGAGCCTCTCCGAAGGAAAGAGCCAGTGGTTCAAAACCCATTCTCCCAGACTAAGAAAAGGCGAATCTCCGAGGATATTGCTGTTTTGTTTTCAATTTTGTGCTGGAGTCATTATTTAGTGCTTTTACCCATAATCAGAATGCTCCTGTAGAGTTATGAAGAAGACATCAAACATGTTTCATCAGGGAGCACTAACCATAATATTTTTTGGTGATTTTTAGTAGGCATGGCATTAAATCTTAAAAAAGTTGGCCCAACTTTTTTAACCAAGCCTGGGGCCCTTTCGTCGAAAGTCCCGGTAACTTTTCGGGCCTGGAAAGCTGTTTTATGTTTGCCGTGTTTGTATTCAAGATCAAAGTTTTATTTATTTTGAAAATAATTAAATGAAACTATCAGTTAACGATGCAAAATTGACAGGTTTGTGAGCTAGGAACTGTGCTAGTATTCAACATGTTTTGATTTTAAATTTAGCCTTTCGGTCCGAAAAGTTTCCGAGCCTTTCGAAAAACAGGCCCCTGGACCGTTTTTTTCAGAATTAACTTGATGCGAAGGCACATTTAAGCTTTTCTAAAAGATCTCAAAAAGTGGAACATAAAAAGTGTAACATTCAAGGAACAACACATCTTTTTTGTTAACTTTTCAGAACTTATAGCTTTGCTGGACGGCTACACAATCGTATTTTTGATGCTTTCAACAGGGGAGATATAGAAACTGCAAGGAAAGAACAGGTGACTGATGCTGACTGTCAATGAATTTCACCTTAGCGGAGTCTTTCTGTCAAACGCAATCACAGGAAGCCCAGACTCACAACAGCCTACTGGAAGCCAAATTATAAGGATTTGTATGGGAATTTATCGTAAGATCGATAAAACGGTTAAAATGTACGTAAACAGCTATAGAAGTGTACTTGTACATTATTCATAAAGATTTGTCTGTGTTGTTTTCTTACTGTTTCCTGTCCTATAGACGACATTTAGCAAGTTTTAATGTTTTGGTTCCTCTAAAATGGCTTTTATAGGGCAGGAAATAATGAGAAAACAACACAGACACAACTCTTCGTGAGATATATATTATTTAATAGTCTTTTATGTACATTTTAACCGTTTTATCGATCTTACGATAAATTCCCATACAAGTCGTTATAATTAGGCTTCCAGTAGGCCGCCGTGAGTCTGGAATCCCTGTGACGCAATGCGCAATTATTATCGTTATCTTTTTAACAAAAGATTTTTAAGGATACTGTGAAAGCTAAAGGGACACGAAACTTTAACTGTCGTGATAAGTAAACTGAACACCCGCGTCTAAAAACTTAGAGAACTAACAACTTTGGAAATTAGAACTCATTATATAAGAACCTGAAATATCTTGTAACCCGGTGGCCCACAGATGACGAAAATGAGAAATAATTGAACTAAACATGACAATTTTTTCTTTTATGTTATTCCCCATCGTTACTGGGGACCGAGAGGTCAGCTATAGGCCAGCTGTTTTCCCTTCCTGCCTGGGCTCTAGTAACAGTCCCATAAGTCTTCGCGAAAGTTTACTCGGCCAAGTTTTCTTCCAATTTTTAAAGTGGCGTATGCACTTCTTTCACATAGACCATAATGATCCTTGTTTATCCCCCTTCCCCCACCCCTAATATTTGCAAATCGCTGTTTCCAATTTCTCCGGGGTATTACAACCGTCCCAAGATTTTGGGGGGTAAACAAGGTGCTTTATGGTTTATGTGAAAATGGTGAATGGGGTCAGTATTTAAAAGCTTCCACTTAACCGGTCTGATTTGAGTTTCTTTCTCTACTGCTGTGATCCTTGTACCTGAAAGAATAATCCAACTGTCCAATCAGGAATCGAAAGAGAAAGAGAAAACGAGTGTTCAGTACCTGTGGTTGGTTGAGTCACAAAGTTTCTTTAAGTTGCTAATCAAATGGTTTTCCATTCCTTTGACATGCAGTACCGATCTCAAAGCATGGTGAAAATATACATGAAATACGGTAAGTGCCAAGGTCTTCGTGGCATGAAATGGCCGTTTTTGAGCCGGATTGCGCGCGCGTGCTCTGGCTCGGTGTCGAATTGTACTATGGGACTCTTTTGGGGGATAAATTTGTAACCAGTAAAAACCCCTTGAATGCAGAGGTCCACTCAACGCGTAAATAAAATCGACTGCTTCTTTCTTGTCCGATCTCTTATGTAGAGACGTTGAACTGTACGTTATAAATCACTTTATGGTGTAATAATTTTGATCTATCACGCTATCTATTCTTCTCATATTTAGTTTATCATTAACCTCTAATGCAAATTTAAATTCAAATTTTAGAAGCCGTTATAGTATTCTTTTTCAGTGTAGCTCTGGCCCTGAAGAAGGCTGATTTTGTTAGCCGAAATATTGACCTCAATTCAATTCAATTCAATTCTATTCTATTTAACCTCAAATAAATCAGTCCTTTGCTGTATAGCGAGGCCTGCATTCAGTTTTGTTTTTGTACCCACCCTTGAAATAGCGAACAAAGGAGGCCATAACTTCCCCACAATAGTTCCATATATGGACACTTCTATGGCCCAGTCCTAGCATGCGCGGCACCCTCAAAATCGAAAGAAGACTGGAAAGAGGGCGTGGTAACCATGGTTGTTTACCATTTGCAAAAAGTTTCCGTAAAATGCGGTTGGAAAGAAAATGAAACACGACTTTTTGGGGCGTTTTAGTGGAAAATTTCCGGCAGCAACAAAATGTCTAAAAAGGTAATCCTGTTTTCCCGGTCGGAATATTCCAAACGAAAATTCGTGTTCCATCTTTGATACCAGTTTTAGGCCTCCGCGGCCGTTTTTCGGTAAATGGAACTACTTTGTGCAAACGGGAAGCGCGATTCCGGGACGTGATCAACCGGTTCTAAATTTTGCTTACCGTTTACCCAAACCGTGAACCGACCGGTTTGCTAATGTAGATGGTAAGCAACCCATGTTTCACTTTACTATGGGCGAAGAATATCGTTCCTTATACCTTCGTCTGGCTCAGATGACCTACACAAAAATGGTGTCCTCAACTTAGCTCTTTCGTGCTAAATACATTGAGACTTAACTTACGATCGGTAGTTGTTTACATACTGAGGTATTCGTTACATAGGGCTATTCGTCACATCGGGGTGTTTGTTTTATTGAGGTATTCGTCATACCGGGGTACTCGTTATACCGTATATCGCGATGTTCGTTATACAGGGGTGTTCGTTATATGTAAGGGATATTTCTCGGCTGGTATCACTTGATATTTGTTTTTACGTTCTTAGTGATCCCTGGCATGGTTCATACGTTTCTGGGAAACGGCCCACCTACCCCCCCTTTAAGCCAACATTTTGCCCTAAATGAGGGTTGATGTTGGCTTAGGGGAGGCGTAGGTGGGCAGTTTCCTATAAACGTATAGTGATCAGTTTTATCTGTGCTTCTAGGTGGGCATGCGGGTGTTGGAAAGGCTATCATGAGATTCCTAGGCTTGGATCTAGGTCCCTCTCGACCACCCCTTTCTCAGTTATCGGCGATGCAAGAAGCGGCCCTTAGAGAGGAGCTGGAAGAAATAGGTTTCTTCGCATGGAAATAAAATATGCACCTATTCCAGAGAGACTACAGGAACAGGTATTGACAACTCTTCCGCGAACAACACTGAACAAACTGCCTCGGTTTAACATGTTTTATTAAACTGTAAGGATTGTTTTTCGCGTCTGGAATTAAATACATCTAAAATTTTAACATATTCCAAAAAAATTTACCAAAGTTGACAAAGTTCATCGATTACGTAACACGAAATAATTCTAGCAAACCTTTCTTCCGTTAACCGTATGAATACTTAATATTCTTAATCGCTGACAAAGAAAACCTTGAAAATTTATTATATTTGATCTAAGTTTAATGCTAATTATAGTACATGAAATAAAAATATTTCTCAAATCTTCTTGTCTTCATTTTCTTGGGTTTTGGTCGGGGTTACGTTTCTCTCTGACCGTTAATTCTCATGAGCTTACATTGACTTTCACCCACTTTCAATTAGTAACAATCTCATCGCCCTAGAAAATTTAATCTTAAAATTTGAAAATTATATTGGCGCGGTTTCCATTTGAGTTCCGTAAGACCAAACAAGTTGCTCATGCAAACTTTCAACCAATCACAGTCAGCTAGTCAGCACTCAAAAGTGACCAACCTCGTCCCCAAGGTCCTCTCCTACTCGGCCCCACCTCTCTCTCTTGCTCCGGGGACCAAGTAGGAGAGGAATCTGGGAAACGAGGTTAAAAAGTGACCACAGCCGGGAAAAAGCGCTCGATAACAACGAACGTCTTCTGCTTTCTTATTGGTTGTGAAAGTCCCATTTTTTGGGGGTTTTTTTTTGCAGTACAAATCCAAAGTATGCGTCGGAGACTCAAATGAAAACCGCTTTATGGTCATTGTGAAGGCTCACATGGTAAAATGCCTTGTATAGTCGTACTCTATCGTTGGTATAACAGCTTGAACAAATTTGAGAAAGATAAGTAAATACCTGGAAAAAAAAGTTAAGGAAAACACTGTGATAAAAGCTTAATTAAGTGGATTAAACAGTTTTATCTAGGCGGCGTGGGGTGTCCGTTGTTATCGTATAAATCAGGTCTCCGGGAGTGCTGTGAACTATAAGGCCTTCTCCACTATCCTCAGAAATGTTCGGGAAAATCCTCGCACGACAGATGGACGACTTAAATTTATTCGCACTTTCATGCCTGTTTCATGAGAATAAAAAGCTTAAAGACATTCCCTTTGGCGCGTTTCGAGTTTCACGGAACAACACTGACAACGGCAAAATAACCTCCATTACACTTCTACTGGGGAGTTTTATAAGGTCGTGATAATCGACCCTCCTCCCTCCCGTGTGCGTCAATGTTTAATCTTCGGTTTTACCTCACACATTCTAAATATCAGACAACAGACGACAGTTTTCACTCAGAGGATACATATGAACACCAAGCTCTCCACCACCATCGGCTACAGTTTGAATAATCTTCTTCATTACGTCTGCGTGCCTGTCCACAAAAAAACCAACAACAACAAAACCACATGGCTTCAAAGAAAACGTCAAAACGTTCACACTTATTATACCGGAAATAGGAAAAATAGCCTTGTTTTTCAACCAAAATTGTTTAACGGCAGAAGTCTCAGTAGACATGTAGGGTTATCAACCTCTAGCCTGGGTCCAAAGGTTTTTATTCTATTCTTGTACAACCCATAATGCTTCCACGTCGGTACGAACTCAAGCAATGAAATTGCACAAACACTTTTACCACTTCAAGTATAGTTTGCGCGTGGACGAAAACATTTGGGGTGAATATTATTCGTTCTTTACCCCAAGTACGTGAAATTATTTACACCTCAACTGCATAAACTTGTATCGAAACGAACGGTACCCCTTTTATAGGCATCGCGTGTACGTCTTACGAAACCATTAATTCGCGTTTCTTCGTATTTGACAAAATGTTGTACCATTTGATCTCAGTTTCACTCTACGTTGAATGTACTCATCACATTTGCCTTCATTTCATTCCAAGCTAAAGGCAATTGTGTTGATGATAAAATTCTAGTGAGTCACCAGCAATAGAGGTGAATAAAACGTCCGCGCACAGGCCACCCAACATGCAAACAATAGATTGTTATCGTTCATTTTAATTATTGGTTCAGACTTTCTCCCAGTTAAGGTGCTTGCGTGGTGCAAGTAAGTCAGTGTGTTGCTTTTCTCTAGTCCTACGTACTCGCGAGATGCGAAGTTCTGTGGCTACCCCAAAACCTACGACCTGCTCGCCACGTGAGTCACCCATACATGTAGCTCAGACTCATTATCATGGAAAAATAAAATTTGAACCAAGAATAAAACTGAACCACAATATACAGTATAATTAAATCATGTTTAAGCCTTTCTCTTCCCGGATGAATGATGGAGTTTTTTGGGTTGCCTTGAAGTTTTGAGTCTATGGATGAAATTCTATGGTGCGACAATCCAAACGAAACCCCTTTAGCAGTACACATGGTACTATTTATTTAGTATGTAGTTCTCACTTTTGAGTCTGTGGATGAAATTCTATGGTGTTACCATTCAAATGAAACCTCTTCAGCAGTACTTTCACATGGTACTATTTATTTAGTATGGAGTTCTAACTTTTGAGTCTGTGGTGTGACCATTCCATAACGTTTAGTCCAGTTTGACTTTCGCTACCTTTGGAAGTGAAAGGGTGGCTTACCTGCAAGGATGAACAGATGCCATTGTCATTGGCAAATGTGGGTGTGCTTCCACTGTAACAGTCTTCTTAGCATGATCCTAAAACCAAGTTATTGCAAACAACATGGGTATAAATTAGTTACCCATTATTGTTCCATTATTGTTACCAATATAGAATTACCCAGTTAACCCAGTGGAAGTTAGCAAAGCCTTTTGAGTTACAACTGGTTGAGTCCAAGGTAATTATAATGGAAGGTACAAAACAAAGGTCACAGTTCACTTGTGCACTAGGTCACTATCCCCACGGATAAGCTAAAACTCTATTTAGGATTTTGATTAGGGCTGGGAGTGTTGTTTATTTACCATATTAGAGTACCCTAGCCAGCACTTGTGACCTGTGACGTGTGACCTGCCTTTTGTGCAGGTCTATGTATTACCCAAAATTGTTCAAGTGAGGCCCTGCCAGGGGGGGGGGTGGGGGGTCCATGTCGCCCATCTGAATTTTAAAACATCTCGTGTTGGTGGTTATAAATGCTTGTCACTTATTGTCAGCTTTGCCGTCACTGTCTCAATTTGGCCGAGGGAGGTTGTCTCTTGTCGCGATTTCATTTTAAGTACTGTTGCTACTTTTTGGGCCACGTAGCTTGTCGGAATTTACCCTGGCAGGGCCTCTCACGTGCACAACCTAGACATACACCAGGCCCGGGAAACTGCTGAAAAAATTGAGGTTTCCAAGAGTCTTTCAGATAATAATTAACAAAACACAACTGACTGGTTTGATTCAAGTTTCAATTTATTAGCCACTGAATCAACTCCTTCAGGTAATGAACAAATGAAAATAATCACATAACGTACATTTGCACATGAACAAATTCTGCACAAACCTATAATGAAATATGCATGAGTATATTATGTGAAAAATTGACTGAACTACAGCGTTCACATAATAGGCCCGTGAAAACATATAATGACACTTCCATCACATTTTAATTAATGATATATTATTTATTTACGATGTTATTAAAAGATCTTAAAACTAGTTGCTTCTTCTTTAGGGAACAAAGGAGCAATGTAAGAAACACGTGCTTACTGAAACCCCTGAAAACTACATTGTATTAAGTGGTTTACCTGACTCATGTCTTCATACATTTCCTCTACAGTTAATGGTTGGCGGTTCTAAAAACAAACATAAAATAATAAAGGCACATTTTTCCTCAACACTTGCACTGCTTTTAAAAAGGAATTGCTAAATTCAGGCTTCATGGCCACCCAGGTTTGTTGTATTAAATATTTCAACTTGTGTGTCATTCTCTTATTTTATTCTTTCAGGGCTTCATAGTTTTTCCTAACGATCCTCAGACACATCCTTCATTAATACTGATCTGGCTGAACACAAAACAGTTCCGATTATAAGTGACATTCTCATTACAAAGAAAAAGGTCTGGCCAGGCAGTCCTGACAAATGGAAAGTGCAGGACGACTCTAAGTCTGAGGTCATTCCAAAGATGTCACTTGCCTGGGGTACTTTTTTAGGTCAAAGAACATTGTTGACATGGCAGCGTAGAAATGTCGTTCAAGCTGCAGCACAGATCCTGTTAAGGGTACTCCTGGAGTCACTTAAAAACATTATTACCTCATTATAGCCAAACAGCCATAACCTTGGAGTCTGATAATATTTGTCATAAGTAATGTACATGTCATAGGTTCTTGTTTGAAGAATCCCACCAGAAGCACTTGCATCCACAGCACCATCTCCTGTCTCAGTTTTGGATGCTGGTTTAATTGATAAAGTGGCCTAAACAAGAAAATAAAATGAATGATTTTTAATACCTGACTTGAAAACTGTTTTCAAACAAACAATGCTAAAGGAATTAAAGTACCTCATCACTTTCTAGCATCCCACTTTCTGCAAAAGCTGAAAATTTAAAAAGAATGAGTGAAGTTAGTTACATTTATTTCTGGCTATTCGAGTGTTTCTGTAATTTGTACTACAGCTATACTGTGTCTATCTCATGAATTTAATTTTCTTTTTTTAACTATGTGTGCGAACGATTGGCCAGGGAGACAACAAATGCAAATGCAAACAAATGCCCACTTTAAAGCCATTATAATTAATATTCTCTACATCAATATAAAGTTGTTCTTTATACCTAGAAGTATTTTTTTTTTACCTTCCATATCAACTGCTTCTTCTTCATCATCTTCCTCATCGTCATCATCATCTGCTGGCGTCATGTCCTTTGCTGCCTGTGAACATAGATTCAAACATGGTAATAAAAAGCTACTTCTGATTGAGCAATGTCAGTGTTCTACAGTCAAGTAAGTGACTATCTGTGAACAAGGATTTTAAAGAGAAGAGCTTCCGACTTGCGTGACTCAGCATCTTTTTCCCTTTTAGTGACTGAGGGGCAAACGAAGTGACTGCATTGATGATACACTGTAAAATAAGGCATCTACCCATGGCAAATGAACTGCAAAATTATTTTTATGGGTTTTTCCCAGCTTTCCCAGTGGTCAGCTATTATGCTCTGGAATGGTTATTTTCCACCTGTTGTTACACCATTTTGTGAGTGAAACCATCTGCAAGTCTAAATTACCTGAACAGTGCATGAGCCTCTTCCCTAACTTACGAGCAAGCTCTCCAATCTTCTTTTAGCAGTCTTGTTTTCGTACGCAATTGTATTTTTTTGCTCCTTTTGGAACGCTAAATTAAATGTATAACTGGCACATTGAGCGTAACTGAAAAGCAACTGACACATTTCTTGTTTCTGGTGACAGTTTTCACACTTTGAGGTTTCCTGCAATTTCCCACAACTTCCCCAAATGGAGGGCTTCCTCAGAAAATAACTCTTCCCTTACCTTGTCAGAATCTAGTGTCATTTCTTGAAAATGACTCCTGAGCACCTGCAGAAGCCTGATCACCACTTAAGTCCACAAGATGGTGTGCGTTCACCCACCCACCACCTTATCAGGTTCAACAATAGGCTCATTTACATGACTGTCGATCCTTACCTTGTCAGAATCTAAAATCATTTCTGAGAATGACTCCAGTGTACCCACAGTAGCCTGATCACCACTTGGATCCACATGATGGTGGGTGTCCACCCATCCACCATCTTCATCAGGTTCAACAATAGCCTCATTTACATGACTGTCTATCCTTACCTTGTCAGAATTTAAAGTCATTTTTGACAATGACTCCTGCACACCTGTAGTAGCCTGATCACCACTTGGATCTACATGATGGCGGGTGTCGACCCACCCACCATCTTCATCAGGTTCAACAATAGCCTAATTGACATGATCGTCTATCCTTACCTTGTCAGAATCTAAAGTCATTTCCGAGAAGGACTCCTGAGCACCAGCAGTAGCCTGATCACCACTTGGATCCACATGATGGTGGGTGTCCACCCACCCACCATCTTCATCAGGTTCAACAATAGCTTCATTTTCCTCTTGATGCTCCATTTCTTTACATCGCTTGTAGCAGGGAACTGTGAATGAGGTCAAAAGAAGCTTAGATGAGGTGCTGAGTACCTTCTAATGGCCAATTACAGGCACAGCCGAACCTCCATGTGCAACAACAACTCAATGACTACCCCCTATGAGCAACCACCAATCGTAAATGCCAATATTTTCCTAGCCCTATAATAATAACCTCTTTTAAATGACCATCTGTCCTCCCTGAAGCAACTGCAGCTACTTTTTGGGGTGAGTTTTATAATTTACCACTTTCATCGCTCTTCATGGGCTGATCTCTTTGTTTTCTGTACATACTACACACACCGATACAAAGAACTTTTACTGTCAACATGGATCCATAATGTAACTTAGAAATTGCATGCAATAAATTCTCTTCCAAAAAGAAGATGGGTCAAGACCTCTTCTCAGAAGGGACCCCAAGGGACCCCATGTCTATCGATTCTCATAAGCGACCATTTCCAATTAGGTAACCAATGCAATTTGCATTTTAGCTAATCACTTATGGGTTGACCAAAAAAAACATTGATTGGCTTGCTAAAAGATCCTTCAGTTGTCTGCAGTGTTTGTCCTCAGCTTGTAAGATAATTTCATGAAGCCTGTGATACATGCAGGCTTAAACAAAAGTAGGAAAAGGCCACATACCAAATTTGAATCTCGAACTATTAACTAAAGAAATACAGTCGACTCTCTCTTAACGGACACCTCTATTAGACGGACACCTCTGTAAAACGGACACCTAAAGTTGGTCCCTGCCTTTGTTTATTCCCTTTATTTGACTCTTTATAAGACGGACATCTCTCTAAGACAGACACTTAGTGCCGGTCCCAGAGGTGTGCGACTTGGAGAGAGTTGACTGTATGCTCTATATCACAGCAACCAGGACTTTGCTCCTTCAACCAGTAATGCTTCCGTCCATTTTTCCCACAGAACAATCAACTGAAGATAGATTACTGATGAAGAATTCATAGTGTCAGGGCTTCTGATATTTTGCGCAGTCACAGAGCCGCGAAATTCAGGTAAATCCGCGAAATCCCGCAAAATTCACAAAAATACACAAAATACTGCGAAATTCAGTAGAAATCTTATCAAATACATGTCTGTACAGCATTTTTGAAACTTGTATCAGCTAGTCTGGGGCTATTTACTCGCCATAAACTTGCAAATTTATCCCAAAACTTCGTCACTGAAATGTGCAAACAATGTCCCAAAACTACCAGGTGTACATTATGTTGCAAAAAACTGGGCACTAGCCATGATGTTAAAGGCTTTGCCATTGGTTCATTTCTGGAGCGTGTTGTTGTTGAAAGAGAAAATGACGACCTCTGTTAGAAAAACATTAAAAATGCTTGTCTGATCAGCACAAAACCAATCGATTTCTAGCGAAATTTGCCCTGAAAATAACCACTAAATCCGTTGTTTTTTTACCGATTGCTTTCCAGCCAAGTTTGCACTGAAAATTCCCGCAAAATCAGCCGATTTTTGGGCAATTTTGTCCTATAAATTCCGCAAAATTGGACTTTTTTTTCCGCGACCTATCAGAAGCCCTGTAGTGTTAAAGGTGCTCACCATTTTTTGTATACAAGAACTGCTTGTCTTTAGGAAGATAACCCTTTATTTTCGTCTCATCAGGCCCTGAGTCCCTTGAAACAAAACATAACACAGGACGTTTGTTGATCCCAACAGTATGAATCAAACAAGTCATAGAATCAAATCAAAGGGTGCCTAAGGCTAACTTGCAGATTCTTATTAAATTACTGTATTTTAGATATGAAACAAGATAAAGAACCTGCAATTAGTCTACCAGTATATTTTAAGTCTGTCAAAAAATGAAAATATGTTTTACGAAAAAACAAAAACAAAACAAAAGGGCCAAAAAAAGAAAAAAATTTACGACAGCGAGAGTCGAAACCCGGACCTCCGACGTGTAAGGTCAATGCTTTTAATCTATTGCACCTCAACAACTAATATTGAAGATTTCCGTTAAATTGATCAGCTTTAACACTTTTGCTCATGAAATTCTACCGCTCTATGCTGTTTGAAGCTGGCAGAGCTTTATTTACGGAGAATTGAAAGATATATTCAGGGAAAACAAGCATGATTAAAGACGTACTTTAACTCATTTCGTCACATTTGAAGAACATATGGCAGACAAGTGTTTCGTAAAACTGTTGCAAAGTCTCTTGCAGCTTGTGATTCTCAGCGTTTACAAGAGGAGAACCAATTATTACACTGTACGATTCAGCAACAGTAAACATTTCCGTTTTTATTGAACCAAGAAACTTTTCATTTCAGAATGACATTTCACCTAAAAAACATGTGACTGGGACTCTTGTTGTAAGAAAACTTTAAAAATCATGAGACTCATGGCAGAATCGTGAGCTTGGACCAGCTTGGGAGTTGAAGAGTAATAAACTGCTGATCTCTTCGTCATGTTTATCTCCTGGATGAGTCAAAAAGCTTCAAAAATTCATAAACTTCTGTCTCAACGTTTGCCATAGTGCTAAGTTGAAACATTCAAAGTGCATATGAATATGTGACTCCTCGAAATGCACAAAATCAGCACATTGTGGAACAGGAACGATCTATGACAGTTGTCGTTTTGACATCGGGTGCTTTCGTGCGGAGCTGACTGATTTATGAAAGATATCTACATCTGAGGGACACATTTGCATATCGCAGTGCCCACAATAACATGTTCCTTACGCTACACATAATCCACAATTTAAAAATGCTTTAATTAAAGTACTATTTCTGCCTTAAGTAATAGCACCTAGAGAATAAGTACACACCATTTCCATGTTGGACAGTGATGGACTAAATGGTCTCCTGCCGCCACAAACTGCAAAGGAGTAAAAACAGCAAAATAGTCAGAGTAAATTCCAGGCCGGGGGGGGGGGGGGGGGGCNAAAGAGAAATATGCAAGTTCAAAATGAATTCGAATAGTTTTTATGTTTTTGCCCTAATCTAAGTGATGACAACATAATTTCTGCCTCAAGGTCAGGTCTGAAAACAGGTATGGATTTTAGAGGTCTAGTCTGAAAACAGGTGTGGATAATTAAACGTTTTAAATTAATTTTAAACGGTATGAAAACGGGTCAAGATTTGAAGAAGCGGGTGGCACCCCCCCACCAAGAATTCCCAGGAGTACCCCCTCCCCCCCCCCCCGGGGATTCCAGACAGTTGAGTATTAAATCTATTTCTAGTTTGTCAGGGGCTACGGTTTTTCTAAACTAAAATTTACCAGAAAACTTATAACTGTGATTATGCATGAAAAGGTGGCTAAATTAAGAGTGGCTTCTAGCTGACAATTGACATGAATGATAACATGTTTATTTTGGTGTAGTATTTAAGCTTAAAGCACTGCTGTAAGCAATAGAAATCGAAAGATTCGAAAGTGATACCATTCCCGTTTCCCGTGCCAGCCCTCCCATTTCGTGAGCGATTCCAATCTAGATCAAACTGTACTGAAATGAAAATACTATATACTTACTTCCTCAGGAGTAATGACTCCAGTTTCTTGAAACTTTGACTCCTGTGTTGATAGATCGGAAACGTGTTAAACCTCAAGGTCATATCCACTTACGGGGCAGATGCACGCTCATGCACACAAAGAACGCGATCGTACCTTTAAAACTGGAGTGAGATATTCTGCTACACCAAGCGCAGTTCCCTTCATCTTATTAATGACATCTTGCATTGCCATGGTGGAAATCAGCTCTTAGACTCCTTAGAGGAAGTATTTATCAAACGAAACGACCAGATACAAACCTTCATCGAACAGTAACGAAATAAAAGGTGCATATCCTCACAAGAGTATCCGCTGACTACGAATTGCTTTCGCAGTACAGGGTCGTCACGCAACACATCACATGGTCACACAACGTTTTGCCTTCAACTCATAGATTTAAGAGGTAGGTATCATAAACTAAAGAAATTTACCAGTTTTGTTCTCTTTGAGGTATGAGATCCTGGCTCAGTCTAGGCGGTCTAGGCGTTCGGATAGTGGAGAGCCGTGCGAAGTCAGAGAGTGGGGGAAAAAAGTAAGGAGGAAGAGAGGGAGAAGGAGTGGGCCGAGAGGAGGGAACTCGCTCTCACCCCCTATCCCATCCCCTCGTTGTCTTTTCTCTGCTCATATCTCTTTGCGCCGTCCCCAGCCGCATGGAACAGGAAAGGCTCAGTCAGATCCAAAGTGCCCAAACCACCAGCCCCCGCCACCCGCCCCCAAGGGAAACAGAGCAAAAATAATCCATGTTGACGTAAATGACTTGTGAAACAGTAGCGACTTCTCTCAATCCCCAACAGGGAAAATAGCGACCTTAGCGGTTTTCCCAACACTTTATGCATTGGAAAATAAAGCAGTCCTTGTTTTGCCAAGGCTTGTCCCTATGAAATGACAAACGGAAATGAATAATTGCAAATCCATTTCTAAAAGGGTTCTTTGCTTTAAACCCTTTCTCTAACTTGTCTCCTCTCCAGTCATCAGCTGTAGAGGCTCCCGCCTGGGGACAGAAAGAGGAAATGCCCTTGGAAAAACGGGTTAAACTGGTGGGTACAGCAGTACAAGATCGATACATCCCAAGAAATTCGTAGGGTCTAAAAGAAAGCAAAACAATTTGAAGCAGTTGAGATTCACAGTAGTGTCATTTTTTTTTTCGTTTCAGTTACATTTGAAATAGATTGATACCCGTACAACACTTATTAATTGTATGATGACAGCCTGGGTAACCAGCCTTAAAAGCAGGCGCCTTGAAGCAAGCGTCGAAAGAGGTGGAGGAGGAAGGGAAAATGGCCCTCTCTCTCTCCTTTCTAGTTTCAATCAACTACCAACCCCCCCCCCCCCCCCCCCTTTACCCCCCTCATTACAGCCTCCCCCCGGGCACCCCCCACTTCAAAAGCCGGCAGGGTTCTGTTCCGCTCAATCATGTTCCCCCGGACAAACACATGTCAAAAAAAAACACAAACTTTTATGCAAACTACAGTTTATTT